GCTGCAGTGGAGGAGTCCCACAATTTGACTGTGCTCCACGCGGTCTCGGCTACCAATTTGGGCATGCGTTTACTGGCGAGGACGCGGGAGTGTGCAGCCCTGAGTGAGGAAGTAGCTTCCTTGAAGGCTATGGTGGCGGACTTGCAGAAGCGGCTCTACTGTGCCAATCAGCATGTGGAAACACTGCAGAGGAAAAATGAGGAGCATGTAGAGCTGCTGCAGATTCTACAAGTGCGAGCAAATATAGACAATTAGCAGGATGCCTCAAGTGGCTCAGAATGCAAAAAAGAATCATGTGATTCAGAATTCTACGTACGCATGTTCAAAATTGTGTTTGTAATCACATGGCATGGAATAAAATAAGCATTTGAGCCAAAATTTCTAATTGAGCAATCATGAATCAAATTTCTTATATGAAACACTGTTTATGAATAATGGAGATTTAAGATCAAACAATGTCATAAAGAAAAGTTGAAAGGGAAATAAAATAAAATAAAATAAATAAATAAATAAAATTCTACTAACAATAAAAGTTATACTAGCAATAGAAGTTGAAATAAACAAACCAAACAATCTTTTAATTAAAACCACTAAAAATAAATAAATAAATAAATAAAATTTTGTGCAGGAAATTAAAAGAACATTTGGAATTTTTGCACCAGGTGTTCCCGACGCATCTTTAAGTTCTTATCCACCTTCAAATTCTGGTATCCACCCGTTTTCTTCTTGTACCTGTGCAGAATCCAACAAAGAAAAATTATAATTTACTTCAGAGTTTTGTGCAAAATCATAATCTTCATTGACCAAACAAGTTTGCAAAGAATCAGAAAAACAAGAAGAATCAAAACAATCTTGAACAATTGTATCAATCATGTCAACTTCTTCGTAATTTTCTTCGCTTTCAGGCTGTTTGCGTATGTTGAATATGTTGAGCTCCAATGTCATGTTCCCAAATGATAGTTGCATAAGTCCATTCCTGCAGTTAATATGAGCATTAGCTGTAGCAAGGAAAGGTCTTCCAAGAATAATAGGAATTTGAGAACTAGAATACGCAACTGGTTGAGTATCCAAAACTATAAAATCAACAGGAAAATAGAATTTGTCTACCTGAACCAGCACATCTTCCACCATACCTCTTGGAATTTTTACTGAACGATCAGCCAATTGCAATTTTACAGAGGTGGGTTTTAATTCACCAAGACCCAATTGCTTATAAACCGAGTAAGGCATCAAATTTACACTAGCACCCAAATCTAATAAAGCATGCTCAACATAAAAATTCCCAATAACACATGAAATTGTGGAACAACCTGGATCTTTATACTTGGGTGGAGTATTAGTTTGAATAATTGCACTTACATTTTAAGTTAAAAATGTGGTCTTTTGAACATTGTGCTTTCTTTTTACAGTGCATAAATCCTTTAAAAATTTTGCATATGAAGGAATTTGTTTGACAGTATCCAAAAGAGGGATATTGATTTTCACTTGTTTAAAAACCTCCAAAATTTCAGGATTTAAGTCTTTCTTAACTGCCTTAAGTGCTTGTGGAAATGGGACAGAGAGCAGTGTAAAGAAAATAACAGAGATGAAAAAGAACAAGTGTGATTGAGAGGTAGAATTATGCAAGATTTGATTTGGGGAAAATTTAATTGATTAAAACACTAAGGCATTGGGTTTCCACTTTTAACATAAGCATGCAACTCTTAATAATTTGATCCACAAAATATTTTCCTTTGTAGTTGTTCAAAATAATTAAAGCTCTTTTTAATTTCCTTTAGAAGTATTCTAAGCATAACTTGTACCATTGGCAACAAACTATCAAAAAATAAACTTCATCGAAATTCTATTAATCTTTAGTAATTCTCTTCTCTTTTAAAAGCATGAAAGTTTTTACTACACAATGGGAAAAACATGATTGAACCCATGAAATAGATTATCAAACATTCATCAATTAATTAAAAAGAAAACTACAAATTCCATTTGAACAAAAACTACAAATTCACATTAAAGCTTAAGTTTGGATCAAACTAATAACAATTACGCACTCATATTAAAAGCTTTCCCCCTAGCCTTAGCTAGGGAGTTAGTTCCCCATAATAAAATAAAACTAAAAACAGAAATTAAAACTTAGAAAGATATGGAGGAAGGAGAGAAAGCTCAAGTTGTGAGGCTTGGTGTGTTTTTACAATGCCATAGCTCCTCCTATTTATAGGAAAATGGGAGCAATTCTAAATTCATTAAATCCCTCCATTCATGAATTCAATATGTATTCCACTTGCATCAAACCAATTGCCAATTTGCTTCCATTACTTATTCCATAGTGTTGATGACTCCATTCTCCAAATTCTTCATCTTTCAATGCACAACCGTAACCCATCTCTTCATTGTTTCTTCTTTTCTTCAATTGTTGCTCCACTTCTACTTGCTTTTGTTATTCAATCTTTTCTTTTGGTTAAGTGTTGCACCTCTTCTCATCATCCTTCATTTCATTTGCTTAACTCACAATTTTAATAGTTCATGATTCCACATCTTCAAGCCACCATCATGTTTGTTGCTTCATCCACTCCATGCATGAATTGAATATGTCTTCCACTTGAACACTTGATCATGCACTTACATGCATTTCTCTTCTCTTTGGCAAGGTGGTGCATCTTGCAATCTTTTTAATAAATCTTGCCTCCATTTGCCTACTAGCATCCAATAATCTTCTTCAACCTTAAGATAAAATAATGAAATCATCATCAATTATGTAATGGGTATGTAAGCAAGTGCAAAAGTGAAAAACAAACCTAATTAACTAAAATTGTAAGAAAATCAATTACTAACAAATATATTTAGGGATAAAAAATGTGATAGTTTATGTGCTCATCAATAGTGTATAGAAATCTTTAATTTATATTGTCTTTTAAGAAATCTTAATGTCGTCAACAAAGTGGTCATATATTTTGAAGATGAGGCAAAGCCATCATCAAAGCATGTACATGAGAAACTACTTGAAAATGGACATTATCTGATTTCCGACAAGGATCCGGATCCTCTGCTAAGCTTTTTCTCTCCTCATCCCTCAGCTTTTAGTTTGATACAGATATGTAATGAAGTAGATTCATCCACCACAAGCCACCTATCCAAAACAAGAGTAATCATAAAAAATTTAAAAAATTGAAGAGGTTGCTTCACTTAAACGTTTAAACATTCGATTACACATTTAATTTCACTCCATAAAACTGTAAAAACATTCTTTAGTTCATTTATGATGCTTAGGCCAAGGACTACAGTTTGGCGGCTGACAATGTCAGCAATCTGGGCAACTGCTACATCTAAACAGAATTGAAATTACACACTTCTTGCAAGCATTTTGATAACAAATACTATGATTCCATTATTCTATTTAGCTGTAAAACCCGGGGCAGAAACCCGGAACCTGAACTAAAACTGGTTCACCAGGACATGATAGCCGGCCGTGCTTTTAGGTGCCATGGTATACTGCAACACCAGCTCACAACTTAGATGTCGGAGCAGAAATTGGTCTAATTGGCCTACTCAGGGACTCTTGAGTCAATGAAACAATGAGCTGCCATCAAAACATGCAATAACTTTAGTGCATCACACACTCAAGCAATGCTTTGGATGAATACAAACCTAACAGCAAAGTTTTTACCTCTCCATTTCTATTAAACATTTGGCCTGAAACAAATCCGCGTGCATTATAGGCAATGGGACTTACTATCTGTTAAAACTAAACGATGTGAGAAAGAATATCGATTTTGAGACTTACCACATAGAGTAACCAGTCATCAGCTCTAACTGGGCGGTGAAACCACATCCTGAGAGAAATTGAATATATATACATACACACACATATATAATAAGAATTTTTCAATCACTACCAGCATGGAAGAAAAAAGGGGCACCATGCAATTTATGGCTCTTGCAAACTCTTGCATATATGAAAAGGACTTACGCGTGGTCCAAAACTAACTTGGGATGACTTAACTCCCCTTCTACCATGGGGATTCAAACTTACACCAGAAAATATCAAATCTGAAGCATATGCTACAACACATCTGCAAAATAATCATACAACAACAATCAATTATATATCTACATACAGATATCGAAATATGAACAATAGAATATCTACAGAAATCAATCATATACAAAACAATCACCACATCGGAAAACAATAATCAGTAATCCATGTTGAATGCTCCATGAAATTTTACTTACATTTGGATGTATGAAAAGGGGCAAAAGGGAGGCCCAAAATAAGCTACATTGCGAATGTATTTACTAAATGTGCTAGATACTCACAAACATAAATAACCCGATAATTGACCCAAAAAAAAAAACAGAGAACTATCAGCTTAGCTTATTGATAAAATGGGTGCATACCTATGCAAAGCCAGATCATCTGAAAGTTTTCCTTTTGCTCTAAACCAGAACCTCAAACTGCAACGTCACTAAATTCCACTTAGATAAAGAGTTCAGTACCAAAACTGGAAAATCAACGAAACAAAAAAGAAATATCCATCTTCACATAGTGTGAAGCATACTGAGGGCACGATAAAAATTTAGATTACGAAACACAGTAAAGCAAGCAAACCTTGGTGGGGATTTAGTCTGATTGGTTGAGCTGCTAGGCTCACAAAATCGTATCTCTATAGGCCAAGGGACAAATTTCTTTGCAGCTGCCTTGATTCGGTAAATCCTGAATCAAGTAATCATTAGTATCATATAAATTTGAGATATCAATTATCCAACAAAACAAAAGCTTCACATGTAACGAAAATCACAATGATGTGAAAAATAGATGATCATTCTGATCATTTAGTAAAACTATGCATAAAGTTTCACAACACTTACTATTAAATTTCTTGAAATACTATGCACAAAGTTTCTACTACATACAGCAGCTTTTATAAAATGTTTACCAAACAATTTCTTCCTTCAGCTATCAACCAACATAGCTTTTTGGCAACGGAACTTTTCAACAGAAGTTTTAGAAACTCTCCAACAAAAGCAAAAACCCTTGAATTACACTTTCATAAAACTTAAGATGGTTGTTCACTAAATTTTGTGCTAATGGAGGAAGCCTAATACAAAAAGTTAAACAGCTAGCAACTTTTCTGAATTTTTTTCATTTACAAAAACATTAAACAGAATGCTCTGGCTGTTCTGTTCAAAGCCAATATCTTTGGAACAAAAATAAATCCAAATGATACTAAATTTTCAGAAAGGAAAATGTCACATCCACTTGAGCAAATTCAATTTCATACAAAATGGAAGGCGCCAATTCAGAGAAAGACATTTATTGTCCGTGGTTTCCGCCCAACAAAAGTTCTGTCCCATGAAAGGTCCAGATCCATGAACCATCCCCTCTAATTTGTCATACAAATGGGGAAGAGCCTTTACCGTATCCGACAGGATATTCTGTTCCAGAAGGCTAAAAGTGTAAAATGCATAGCTATGTGACTGTTTCAACTATACTCTAAAAACATAGTTTAAATAGAAATCCCAACTGAACTCCCCAAAACCCAGAAAGGAAAACGAAGAAAAAAACAAATGAGTAAATTACAAGGCGAAATTAGAACAGGCTTGATTGCATATAGCAGAGAACTACAATGCAACTATATATCTTACCTTGGAAGAAGCGGATCAAGCAGACGTTTTTCACGTAATTCTTCCATTGACAGAAGCTGTTATGGATCAAGAGTTCAACATTTACAGCCAACATCAGCTGGAAAATTGTTAATAAATAAGCAAGAAAATGCTACCGTAAGCATGATGTTCCAATGCTGCAAAACCTGCAAAATTACCTTCGCATTATACTTCCTTGACAATTGATGGTGACAATTACAATCCCAGCTAGATTATTGCAAATCATTGGCCAAACGTCCTAAGTACAAGATAGATAATCTATATCCTCAACCAAACTAAGACTTCATCTCAAGAAAATGGGGACAACTACATGTGTCTGGTTTCATGACAACATGACACCTAAACTTAAGAAATGCACCAAGATAACAACTCCATATACCCTCTGACAATCTCAAATCAAGAAATCCCTGCAGGCCAGGGACTGATCCAAGAAACTCAAATCTTATATAGATAAAAATTGTTGACGCATTCTCATGTAAGCATCACCAAAACCATAATCAGAAACTAACCCAATTTCTTACATTCAAAGAAAAAGGTTCTCAGTTCTCACCATAACCAAAATAATCGTATCGTTTCAATTTGAACTCAGGTCAATTTCCTTCATCAGCATTAACAGAACCAGTAACTTCAGCCTGTGTAAGAAAACCACAATATAAGCTCACTCTAAGATCCAATATAAGTAATTATTAACTAATAAGCAATGACACAATCAAACTAACCTCTCCATCCCATATGAAGTAAACCCCATCTCCAGTTTCACCTTCACGAACAACATACTCTCCACTATCTGCACAAAGAAACACGCTCAAAATCTTCAATACCATTACAAAAACTATACAAACAAGTGAATTCACAATTACCCAATATTACATATGTATATGTGAGTATAAACATTTATCGATAGAAACCATGCTTAAATTCAGCAGAAGAAGCAATTAGATAATAGAATTGACCGTAGTGCTTCAAAATGACCAGCTGGGCGACTTTCTTGAGAGAAGAGCTGGGAAGCCTCTGAAGCAGAGGAACGCAGCCCAGGAACTCAATCACTGCAAAATGCAAATGAAACAGACAAACGAATACAGAGAAGCAAGCTCAGAGACTAAACAGAGAATTGAAATTAGGGTTTGAATTTTGGTCTTTCGCGACGAAATCCATGGTGGTGATTGGTGAAGCTAAAGTGCTTGCAATCGTTTCAACTGAAAATGAGAGAGAAAGAGGCCCATACTATATGGTTGAATTGATGGTTTTTGGATCTGGTGCGTCGCGGTGTATGGTAAAAGTTTGGACTTGACGTGCCTTGGCCAATGAACTGTTGGGCAGAAAAAGAAACGTGTTTAATTACGCGGGAGAGAAAGTTTTTCTATTTTCGAGGCGTCTCAATTTCAGTAATGTTTTTTTTTGGTAAAAAATTTCAGTAATATGTTCATCATATAAATTACTTTTTCTTATATTTGCATAGTAAAAATTTATTTCATTTATAATAAGCAAGTAATGAGTGTGAGAAAAGTATAAATAAATTACTAGGAAACTATTATTGACTCCAAAAAAATAATTTAAAACATACACACGACAAGTTTTTTTGAAATTTTTTTTTTGGGTAAAAAATTTCAGTAATATGTTCATCATATAAATTACTTTTTCTTATATTTGCATAGTAAAAATTTATTTCATTTATAATAAGCAAGTAATGAGTGTGAGAAAAGTATAAACAAATTACTAGGAAACTATTATTGACTCCAAAAAAATAATTTAAAACATACACACGATAAGTTTTTTTGAAGTGACAATAATCATATTTTATACCTTGTAGTTTTAAAAAGAGAATTTTTTTAAAAGCAATCATTATATTGATTTAAATTCACCTTAACGACTAGTTCTTAATCTAATAATATTTCTTCTTAATTGAATCCCTCTTCTCAACAATAACATTTTGTCCAAAATCAAATTTATTTTCTCCATTCAAATGCAATGAGTTTTTTATACATTTTATAACTATTATAAATCTGTCAATAACGCAGATATGGGTTTAGCCAAGTTAGCTAAAGTGAATGTACTCCTCACTCTACACCCGAATTCAAATTGTATTCAAAACAAAATATCTATCAATAACAAGAGATTTTTCTTTGTTTTTGGTCAAAACCCTTTCTTGCTTTGAGGCCCAAAATAAATATAAAAAAAACTCACAATTTTTTTATTTAATTATTGCAATTTTTATGACGTTGAAGTTTTGTTTTGACACACTGCTCTCAAGTTCAGAAAGGAAGGGTCCAAATCAAAACAAAGCCCATGTTCTGAAAATATTGGGCCAATCAATGTATAAATGGACGCTCACCCAACCACTTAACTGGCATTGAATTTTAAGGCTCAACAATCCAAAGTGCATGTGTCATATACTTTCTCATGGAACAACAATCCAAAGTTAGCACAGAACAGAAGACTCAAACTTTACCTCTCACAGCCATTCACGTCGAGTTCAAACCCTTGGGGATGTCTAGCGGTGCAAGTGTTATAAATAGCTTCATAGCTTATACTTTTTAATCAAGAATGGTAAACCAACAAATCTTATAAATAATTTCATGTTTATGGGACATCCAAATACATCCAAGCATGTGCACTGAATATATTATACAATGGTAGATCTTTTGTACTTTTTTGGGTACAGATAAGAGCTTCATCTTTTGATAGTTGCACTTTCATCCCAAATTCAGTACTTCATCTTTTGTACTTTTCTTGTGAGCCACGCATTCAGTCTCCCAATACCAAATTTCCACAAGTCTTCTCATCCATTTATTTTCATAAGTCTTCTCTCATCCATCTATTTCCACAAGTCTTGTCATCCATTAATTTCCCTAAATTCAATGAAATTCCTATTCAGAGCACTTGTGGAAACAAGGAAAATCAGATGTTCTTATTTGGACACTCTTTAGCTTCATTTTTGTGCAACTATCTCCCTGCAGTATATCCTTTGGAGTTTTAAGCACGGGCATGGCTCTTTGTGGGTTGAAGACTTGCACCGTATGAAAGATTAGAACAAAAATCGTAAACAAAACGAAAGGCAACAACATTTAGAACCAACAATAAGAAACCAAGAATAGCTAGCTGGCAACCGCCCCTCACTCTCTTTTCCTCACACACACCTTTTTTTTTTTACTAGGTTCTATAGTTGACAGGCACATATAAGATTTTCAAATGCAGTATTTGTGGCCAATTAATTTTCAGTTATGAATTTGCATATTTAATTGCAATACTCTTTTAAAAAGATCCGAATTTCATAAAATCTCTTCCTAGGCCTTGTTGAGAGTCGGTAATCCCAAATCGAGGGAGGGAGAGAGGAGAGAGAGATAGAGAAACAGTTCTTGGGTGTCCATAGAATCACCTTGGCATAAGGAGAACAAATAGACAAAGTCGGACTCAGTCACAAGCTGAGAAATATCCCTATCTTAAGCCAACCAAACTCAAGGCCCATATATAGGAGGAAAGTTAGTTGCAATCCTCTATGTCCTTTTTGTGATCTATATGAGGAATCTATTGAGCATATTTTGTTTCTCTGCA